GACGACAGCTCTGATGGCCATTCCAGAAAGTTCCTAAATTGCTTTGAAGGGTGGACTAGGCGCTGGTGTCAGTGCATAGCTTCCCAAGGGTAGAACTTCAAAGGTGACTGTAGTGATATTCAGCAATGAGGCATGTAACGCTTTTTCTAGGATGAGTTCGTGAACTTAACTGACCTTCATGTATGTGCTGAGAAAATTGTTTTATTGTCTATGGCTTATCTATTCATTTTCTTAATGTCTCTTTATAAGAGAAATTGTTAATTCTTATGAAATCTGATTTCTAGGTTATTTTTTTAAATTCTATGATCTTGCGCATCTACATTTTGTAATAATTTTTTTGTAGCTACTTCCCTGCCTCTCAAGATGGAAGAAGGTGATAGCCTATTCCCTGAGGAGGAGCTTTTGGGCAACGTCCCGCTTGTGGAAGATGGTAATAAAGGATTTTTACAAATAACACACATCTCAGCAGCAAGAAAGACAAAGAATGCACTTCATGTTACCTTCAGTTCTCTTCTTACAGAGAGACGATATCTCTGAAACTCATTTTTTTCTCAAAGAGGGAACTTATATTATGCTGTCTAATTGAAGGACAGATAAATTGTGGCTGAGAATTTTGAAAGTGGCAGACCACAGTTTTTTAGTTTCTAACATCTCTATTGAGGAATCTAATGCCATTTTTATCCCAGTCCTTTGAGTGTGACCTATTTTTTGCCCTCAGGGATCTTTTTGATTTTTTTTTTTAAAATCTTTGATGGTCTGAAATTTTTCTAAGATGTGCCTTTTTGGGGTTACTGCCGGATACCAGGCAGGACAATCTAATCCGGAAGCTAGTTCCCTTGGTCCACCATCGCCCACCCCCAGGCCCCCCGTGCAGCGCTGTGCTCAACCCATCACCACGTGTTCACGGGCTTCTGTCTTCTAGAACTGCTGCCCCCTCTCACCCACTGTCTTCCCTCTCCTGTCCTCCTTGTTACTAGGTTGATGTGGAATTTTAGAATTCCCCTCCTGTCATTTTTATGGAGACTTACTGAAGGAGTGGCGATAAACCCAGTCATTCCATTTGCCATGTTTTGCTGGANCGTGTCAGGGAGGCTCCTCCATTTGTGCCACTTGAGAAAACGTTGCTTCCTGTAACTTTTTGAAAACCATTTTTTGGTCTGATTTTAAAACGTGGAAACATCCTGCTCTGCCGTTACTTCCCAGAAATCTGCCCGGCACTCGAGTGACCGGCTGGACGAGGCGTGTCCCTCTGCCCTGGCTGCCTGGGCCTGGCTGTGCGGTTAGCACCCCCGGGACCCTGAGCAGGGAGCCCCGCACTCGCTGGCCCTGCTCTGAGTGCGGCCACTGTCCCTGTGGACCCCCAGGTGCCTACAGAGGATGCGGACCGGAAGCCCGTGGGCGGGACAAAGATGGACAAGGACATCCTGGCCCGCACGATGGAGCGGCTGCGAGACGGGGTGATCCACAAGCAGGTGGTGTCGGGGCGTGAGTTCAAAGGCTGCCCCTTCAACAGCAAGCCCAAGCTCATCCACTTCAAGGTGAGCCCGCGGGGGTCCCAGGTCACAGAGGGGAAGGACAAAGCACCAGTGACCTGCCTGCTGCTGGAGGTGACTGGGCTCCTCCCGTCGGAGGGTCAGACACCAGCCCCAGGAGGCCCAGGCCTTGGGAGGAAGGGACGTGGCTTCAGGGTGGCCTGTGGCGATGAGTGAGAGCGAGGATATAGGTGCTCCTTGGTCTCTGCAGGAGAGGGGGCTCGGGGCTCCTGGGGTGTCACGCCAGCCCTGGACCCGATGCCTGGAGCCCTCCCCTCCTGTTCCCACTGTGGTCCTCTGGGGCGGCTCCTATGTGCCAGGCCCCCTTGCCCTGCACCCCTCATGGACAGGCAGCCTGGGAAGTGTCCTGCCCCCTCCCGTGGGACGGTCATCAGGTTATCACGCTTGTCACTGGACATGACCATCCCTCTTCCGATGGCATGTGAGGGGGCACCCAGGAAGCTCTGAGCGACAGCCTCTGGCTCCCTAGGACTTCGATGTCGGCAAGGTGTACAGGGAGACGATCACGCTGGTCAACGCCTCCTACACGATTAACCACTGCAAGCTGGAGGGCGTGGAGCCACATCTCCGGGACTTCGTCCACGTCGAGTGAGCACAGGGCATCGCTGTGGGCGGGTCCAGCCACCTCAGACCAGGACCTCCGAGGACGAGACGGTCACTGCCCCAGCCTGTCCCTCCCGTTAACCTGGCAGTCCTCGGGCTCCTGGGGGTCCCATCTCTGGTGTCCTGAGTGCCGCTGCAGTGTGTGTGCCCTGGTTTTCTCAGGCTCGCTTAGAACTCACATGCGTCCTGGTCTGAGGGTTCAGAGCTCGTGTCAGAAATTCTCTGGGGAGCTCCTTTCAGTCCCCCAGGCTCCAGGCCAAGTCCCGCCCACCCTGTCTCTCCAGAAGCAGGGCTCTGTCTCTGGATCTTTCACTAAAAATGGGGCTCAGTTCCAGCTCCCTCACTGGCTCCCTCCACTCACACTGGTATTAAAACCCCAGGTCCTTGGTTCCAGGCCTGGCACATGTCCCCAGGGCAACTGTGGCAGCTGCTAACCCACTGCATCCGTTCCCTCTGGAGTTGGCCCCTAGGGACTTTTCTCCTGCCTCCTTCCCCCTCCCTCCCTCCCTCCTTTCACTCATCCACTCACTCACTCAGCAGACATTCAGATGTCACTTGAGCACCTCCGGTGAGCTGCTACGGGGAGACAGCGGGTCACAGGCCCAGGACGGGGGAGGGAGGGAGCCAGAGAGACAGCTCAAGGTCAGCGCCAGGCAGCCCCGGGCCGGCCGTGTCATCTGTGTGGTGAGCGAGTGGCCACCTTGCGTGGAGACGTGGTCACTTGCGTGCTGTGCCCACAGCTTTGATCCCCCTGGTCCCATGTCAGCTGGGATGTCCTGCGAAGTGCTCGTCACCTTCAAGCCCAAGGTGAGTGTCTCGGTTCCAAACCAGAGGATGTAAAAGGGGGCTTTTCTCAGTATTGTGAGCCAGTGGCATCGGATCCCTGCTGCTCCTTGGGCTCTGGACACAGGGCTTCTCTGGGGACCACACAGGGCTCATTTGCTATTTCTAAAACGCATCCCCAGGTTCCTACATGCTGGGCAGTCATGGCGGCTGGCAGCTGTGACCTGTGCGTGCCCTGTGGTCTGAGTGGGTGTGTTAGGGTTCCCACAGGCCCTGCCGGTCAGTGTGCGACCCTGCTGGCCATGTTCTGCTGACCCCTCCCTCTGGGGCCACTCGAGCTTGGCAGGCGGTGGGCGGCGGGCGGGCCCAGGCTGTGGTTACATAGACATCACATGTGTCACTGGGTAAAGTGAAAATGTTCACAGTGGTGGGTTCCATTTTTTTTAGATAAACAAAGATCTGGAAGGAAGTGTCTCGTTTCTGGCTCAGACCGGCAGGTTTTCTGTCCCACTGAAGTGTTCAACAAAGAAATGTTCGGTAAGCTCCAAGACCTGACACCTGAGCCGGCTTTTTTCGGGATGTCTCTGCTGGGAGCTTTGTTTTGGGAAGAGTGCGCCCTGGAATGAGGGTGGAGGGACCAGGGCCAGCTCTCCATGGGGCTTCCGTCCCAGCACAGGTCCCCAGAGCTCCCGGCAAACCCTTCCCAGGGCACAGCCCAGACTGCAGGCCCCAGTCAGAGGGGCCTTGGGCTCGTGCAGAGGCTCTGGCCCTGTCCACAGCTCCGCGGTATCACCACGCCGCACATCACAGCCCCAGANGAAACGCTCCGGAAATTTCAAGCATGGGGCCAGGCCAAGGCAGAGCTGGCTGAGCAGAAGGCCCAAGCAGAGAAGGAGGCGATTCTGGCCCATGGCGGGGACGCTTTCAAGCACCTTTTCCATCAACGCCGGCAACGGGAGCTGGAGGCCCAGAAACAGTGAGGGCCTTGGGCGGCACTGTCTCTCCCTGGGCCTCCCCCTTGAAGATGGGGCCTGTGGGACAGGGAATGGGCCTCCAACTCTCCCCGCCCAGTTCCTGCCAAGCCCCTCCCTCCACACCCCAACAGGGGGGACTCTACAGACCTCAGAGCACAGCCCTTTTGCCCTGTCGCCAGCCAGCCCCTCGCAGGCCCCTCCCCCTTGGGCTCCTGGCCTGGTCCCTCAGGAGCTGCTCCAAGGCCTGCACTCTGCTCACTCCCTCCGCCCTCCGCTCTCCTGTCCCCTCCTCGGGGCTGCCAGCTGCCTGGGCTCACCCTTAATGCACAGCCCTCCCGGGCATCACTTTGTGTTCTCCCCCAAACCTGCACTCAGTGCTGCCTTCTCAGTGCAGCCCGCACCCTCGGCATTCACCCTGAGACCCCCCTTTGCCCTGCAAGGTCCCCATACACGGCTCCCCAGGCTGTCCCCACCCAGAGATGTGAGGTTCCCCCTGGGCCTGCCGGCTCAGTGTTGGCTTCCTGAGACCCAAAGCCCAGGTTTGTGCCCTGTCCCTCTCCAGCCTTGTCCTATAGGGCTGGGAAACACCCCCAGCCCCCAACCCCGCGTCCTGCATCATGCTTGCTGTTAGAATCTGCCCAGGTGTGGCCTCCTGGTCCTCTCCTCTGGGATGTCGCAGTGCCCTGAGTGTCACTTCCAGAGTTTTGCCATCACCCCGCCCTGGTGGGGGCTCCTGGGGGCAGCTCTGCCCATCTGAGTCCCTTAGCCTGGTGCAGGCCTGGCACATAGGAGGCGCGAGCGAGGAACAGCTGGAATGAATGAGTGAATGAGTGAATGAATGACTGGCCTCAGCCCTGATGCGCCCTTGGTGTGTGCCTCGGTGGGGTTACCCTGGCTGCCAGCCTAGAAACCAGAGGTGGGAGGTCAAGGTTTATTGTGTGAACTAGACCGGGCCAGGGGTTCAAGTCCTGGGTCCGGCCTGGCAGCCCTCCCGGGAGCCTGGGGCACATGCTGAGCGGTACCTGTGCTGCGGGGGTGGGACATGCATCGCAGCCGTCTGTGTTTCCCCCAGTGCCTTCGAGGAGGAGCAGAGGCTCAGAAAGCGTGAGATTGTGAGTCGGATTTTGAAGGACGAGGCTGCGCAGGAGAGCAGGAAGAGGA